AAAAATGGATTTTGGATCTCCAACTATAACGTGGACTTGGCCATGGCGATCTGGACTCTGCAAGTCAGCCACCTTCACCTCTGAGGCAGAGCGCTGTCCCCTGACCTTCACGCTTGATGGAAACCGAATCCGAGAAACCAGGTGTGACCAGTAGCACAGGAGCGTTTCAGGGGCCATGGAGAGGAGCTGGGCTGAAGTGGGGGCGTGAGCACAGGACCAGCACCCAGGGAGGAGTGCAGGTGGGCCCCCCGCTCCTGGACGTCTGTCCTTGAGAACACACACCTGTAAGGATGTGAGCTGCCTCTCCCCAAACGGGGTCACACAGCATGTGTTCTTTCCCCAGTAATGTTAGTACAGTGTCAGTAAGTACAGACTAAAGCCATGATTTTCAGGGCTGTGTAATATTTCCCAGTATTATATATTATCTCTATAATATCTGTATAATATCATGTATTCAAGCTGACTGGTGGCATTCAACCTTTCACGATCGTCGTCAGTGCTGCCATAAACATTTGGAGCACTCGCCTGTTTGTCTTTGGGCTGTTGTCACTGGCAGTCTTTATGTAAAGAAGGATAAACCATCTTTTTTTTTTATTATTCATATTAGGTAGCCATTGGATGTGTGGTTCAGACTGGGTTACTTTCGAGAGCACACAGAGGCACTATTAATAGTCCCGCCTCCCAACAGGCCCAAAGGAGGGCTGTCCTGACAAGCTGGGCTGTCGGCCCCGCCCGGGAAGAGCCTGCAAAGGCACCTGAACAGGTGGGCAAGTTTGTGCCAGGACTGTGTAGAGGGCGATCGTCCCCACCCTCAAGCTTCGGTGGCCAACTAAGGTTGGTGTCTCCCCAGCATTTCAGGCTGTAGACACGGGGCACCCTGGGAGCGAAGCGTCTCCAAACTTCCCCATGGGGCCATCCACCTGTGCAGTCACCTGTCTGCCTGTCTGTCCGTGGGTCCACCTCACTCCTTGCCAGTCATCAGCAGCCCTAGAGCAGCATGTCGTTGACACTGAGACCAGGGCCTGGCACAAACGGGCTCAACAGTAAGATTTGCGAATGAATGAATGAATGAATGAATGAGTGATCACCAGGACCATCCTCACGGCAGCTGCCATTTATTGGCATCTTAATAGGGGTACATTCTGCTAAATGTTGTACACGTATGCTCTCGTCAAATCCTCCCAGCAGCCCTGCCAGGGGAGCACCACCAGCCCATTTTATGGAGGAGGAAACAGTCTTGGACAGGTAATGCCACCTGACAGGCAGGGAGGGGCAGGGTCTCCATGTGACCCAGGTGTGGCTGGCCCTGGAACCACGCGCACACACAGACATACCGCCCCGCCCCACCCTCCCCACTGGCTGCTCGCTCTCCCCAGGACCCCAGCACCCCTTGCAAAGGGCATGTGCGCCCAATGCCACTGGACACAGAGGGTGCCACCCCCAGCCCAGTGATCCCTCCACTCAGAGGTGGGAGGCGATGAGATCACGACTCGCCCCCCAAATAGGAATTTGAGCTGTTCCCCAGCAGTTCACTCTGGGTTTGGGGTCTGCCACCTCCAAGAGCCCCTGTGCCCCCTCCCACATGGCTCCTTGACCAGTGAGCTTGGGACGGTGGAGACTTAGGTTGGAGAAGACCCTCCCGAGCTAGCCCTACCCCTGTGTTTTCAGATGAGGAAACTGAGGCCCAGAGAGGTTCCGCGGCCAGCCCAGGTCTCTTGGCTTGGCACAGCGTAAATGTCCGGGCAGAAAGGCTACTCGCCAGCTATTGGCTGACCTTCCCTCTGGGCACTGGCCGTCCGTGGCAATTGCTGGTTGCAGAGACCAGACAGAAACACTGGAGCCACTGGCAGCTGGGATCCTGCGGGGCCCGACAAGGAATCGTCACACTGAGGGACGTGTCTTCCCCTTTTCTTGGTCCCTCTAGGGGTCATGACCCTGGTAAGTGCCCCATGTAGTTCCGGGCAGCGTGTTGGTAGGGGCGACCCCCTCGTGGGCTGGCTGGGCAATGTAGACGCCAGCGAGCTCGGCTGTGTTGACCAAGCCCAAGGCACGGCCCGCCTGCTGCTTTTCCATGTGAAAGGTGTTTAATTATTTCTGACAGAGTTCAGTGGCGACATCTGTTCGCAAGCGGGGAGAGTCCATTTAGGTTATCCATCACTGTGACAGGTTCCACTTTTTTGGAAGCGCTTTTTCCTTTCATAATGGGGCCAGGCTGGGGAGGGGTGGGGTGGCGGACCAGCAGCGACTCGAGGCCCAGACAAAGGCCCTCGTGGGGCCTGGCGCGACACCGCTGTGGACGGCAGCAGCCCGACTCTGGGCGCTGCTGGCCCTCCTGGGTCCAGACCCATTTGGGGGCTGCCAGGGGTGATGGGCGCTGGGATGGTCAGTTTGCGAAGGGGGGTTTCCTCGGGTCTGTGAAAGGCTTTAAAGTGTTCCTGTCACACCGGGCTGTGCTTGTCACACGTTTATTCATCCACTCCATTCGTTCCACAGACATTGACTGACCTCCCATTCAGTGCCGGGCACCGTGCTGGGTTCTGGGGACACAGTGGGGCACATAACAGGAATGGTCCTAGGAGGCTCCCATTTTATTGGGGGAGGTGGACGTTGAACAACGAATTGCCCTCGTCACTAATTAACTGTGGTGTGGAAAAGTACCGTGAAGGGGAAGAAAGGTGCTCTTTGGTTGTGAAGAGGGTCCTGCTGGGATGGGGCCAGACGACAAGGGAAAAAGACCTCCGGAGGAATCACAGCCCGGCCGTAAAGAGAAGAGGCCTCGGCAGCCTGGGGCTGAATCCGGGATCCCCTCCTTGCAGAGCAAGGTCCTCACCTCTCTGAGCCTCAGTTTCCCCATCACTCGAATGGGGACACCGTATCTATGAGATGATGCCTGTCCGGCACTTGACACTCTGGAAGAGCTCACTACACACTGGTTATTTCCCGTCAGGGTGGGGCCTGAGCATTGCGTCCTCAATGGCGGCACCCTGGGGTCTAAGGGCCTGTACTGGGCTGTCATGGGGCGGCGCCCAGGGACCAGCCCTGCTCCGAGAGTCCTGCAGCTGGACTTCCATAATCCGTGAACATCCTGGCAAAGACGAAAAGCACCCAGTAAAGCCAGGGCTTATGTACTTATTCTTTCTCATTATTCCTGTGATGCACTGGGTTGTGCATTCGAGCTTGGGCCCTGAAGGTTCCAGGCCCAGTCGCTTGCTGGGCGAGGAAATGCAAACCCTCTCGCCTCTCCTCCGTGCAAGGGGACAAGGACACTGGTTTGAAATAATGCACATGAATGACTTACACCATGCCTGGCATCGGATAAAAGGTTGGCATTACAGGCTGGCCACTGCTGTCCATAACAGTATTTTATACCAACAACCTGAAGGCTGGGAGAGACAGACTGAGAGCTGAGTCAAAGCCCCTCTTGTGAAACTAGAAACTCACTCATCCATTTCTGCATTTGCGCGCCTACTCTGTGGGGATACCAGCGTGTGACACAGGGGCTCCTGACACGGGAGTCAGTGTTACCTGGAGTGGGAGGGGGCCTTTCCCTGCTTTGCTGGGCAGAGACCCCAGGAACCCTCCTCTGCCCATTGCCTTGGGAGCTCCCGGCAGGTTCTAAGTCAGAGACGCAGGGACGGAGAGGCACAGGGAGTCAGTGCTGCAGAGCAGAGAGCGGCGGAGGGCACCTCATGCTGAGAAGCGATGAGCCCCATCCCTCCCCGGCAGCACGGCCCCCCATGCCTGTACCCCCGCCACTGATGTCGGGAAAAGGAGAAAAGAGCAAAGGAGGAAAGGCAATGGCCAGAGGGGCCAGGACGGAGGCTGTGGAGAGAAAGTGCTGAGAGAGAGGAGGAGGAGGGGTGGGGTGGAAAAGGCAGGAAATGGGGAGAGAAGCCAGCGCTGAGCCGTGCTGCCAGGGTCGGGGTAAAAGGGCCACCAGTCAGCGCCTCGGTGGCTCCCACCACCTCCTGAACGGCCCTGCTCATGTTCCTGGGCACGGGGGCAGCGTGGGCTGACAGGCGGCGGGGCGAATGGTCAGTGACATATGCTGATGGAGGCCACTTGGGTAAGACGCGAGAGGCTGCGTCAAGGGGGCAAGCGGGCTTCTCCCGCGAAGCTCGGCAGCTTGTTCGATTGCATTAGGCTCAGGAACGCACTGGCCCCTTCATTGTCTAAATTGCAGTTTAACTCAACACGACGCCTGGGCCTGGGCTGGCCAGGAATGCTGCTTTGTGCAGCTGTCTTCCTGGGGTCGGGCGTGTCCCCTGTGGCCCCTAGAAAGGCTCGCTGGCCAGAGCTGGGCATGCACAGTCCCCGTCCATCCTGAAGCTGCTGTCCCCAGATCTCCTAGTTCCTGTCCTCTGCACAACACCCCAGCTCTTATGGGAACCCCCATTCGGGCACCTCTGCAGGGTTACACAGCAGAATGAACACCATCAGTCCCAAGGCTGGAGCAGGGCGGCTGCTAGATGACTCTGGGTGCGTGTCATGCCCTCACGTCAGCCCCCAGTAGATGTTTGCTCCCATCTACCCAGGCATGCCACCTGCGGGAGGTTCAGGGCTGGTGGCATGGGGCTGCCTTGCGTGCTCAAGTCCCCAGTGCAGGATGTGGTGTGTCAACGACCCCATCGGGAGGTTTGGCCCCAACAGTGTCCACCCCTGTGGACACACAGCCAGGCTCTGTGGTAAGATGAGCTGGGTTCGGCCCAAAGCTGCCGCTTCCCAGCGCTCGCTGTATTTCCCGTCTGTGAAATGGGGACATAGCAGCGGCTCCCCTCCAACGAGTGTGAAGAGTCAGTGAAGTGGAGCTCACAGCTGGCACCTTAGGAAGTGCTCAAAAATGTTAGTTAACACTATTGGTATCATATTATTATTGCAGTCGTTGTTATGCCACTTGACATAAGCCCAAAGAACTCCACTGTCTAGAGGACGGGTAAAGACTGGGCAAGGCGAGCGGCATCTGCCCGGGGGCGAGCAGGGGCAGTGGGGGTGAGACCGACCTTCTGGAAGCGAGGCATGTGCCACAGGGCGTCCAGCTTCACAGGCGGTTTGTACTTCCTCAGCTGACTGCTCCTGGTCTCATACAACTTCCCAAAGAACACCTGCAAGCCAGAGGAATGTGAAGGGGAGATGCTTACCTGGCTGCCAGAGACGCCCGAGCTGAGACGAAGGGACGTGCGGGCAGAGGGTGGGATTCCTGCTATTGCTGACCCATGGGTCACCTGTCTCCTTGATCCGGCCCTTCTCTGAGTCTGATTTCATGGCCGAGCCCCGGCCATAGCTCAGTGGTGGGACCACGGGATGCCGTGAGCATGTTGTTCTGGTTTCTGGTTTGCCACTAGGACTCCTGGGGCTCTCTGGCTTGTACGTTTTGAGGGCAGGAAAGGTGTCTTAGGCATCCTTGTAACTTCCTCCTCGGCTAACAGCCCTAGCAGGGACTCCGCCAGGTGTGAATGGAGGGTGTGTGAATGGAGAGATTGTTGCTTCACCATGGCCCTCTGGAAGGGGAAACAGGACTCCTTTTGGGGAGGGCTTTAGGGGCTCAGTTCAGAGCCCTTGAGGTCCCTGCCGGTGGGATCTCAGGGGCACAGAAGAAGTCCTGCTCCCCCTTAGCTGCATGCCCCGTGCCTGCCAACAGTACCAGCAAGCCCATGATTGGGGTCCTAGAGCTCGTGGGGTGTGTTATGGTCTGAACTGTGTCCCTTCCAAAGTCAAATGTTGAAGCCATAACCCCTAGTGTGACTGTATTTGGAGATGGGGCCTTTAAGGAGCTAATTAAGGCAAGCGAGGTCCTAAGGATGGGGTGCTGACCTGATAAGGCTTGTGTCTTTATAAGAGGAAGACACAGACCAGGCATGTCGCACAGAGAAAAGGCCATGTGGGGACAGAGGGAGAAGACAGCTGTCTACAGGCCAAGGAGAGAGCCCGCAGGAGAAGCCAACCCTGCTGGCATGCTGACCTTGGGCTTGCAGCCTCTGGAACAACAGATGCCTGTTGCTTAAGCCACCCAGTCTGCAGTACATTGTTAGGATGGCCCAGGTGGACTAAAGCAGGGTCCCAGGCCTCCTACCTCCCGATCAGTGGGGGAGCGGCCCTGGGGGAGTTCCAAGCAGAGCTGAACCTTAGCCCAGGCTGTGAGCCTTGTCAACATTCAAGAATCCCAGGGGGGAGTTACCAGGTAAACAAGGAGTCTTGTACAGAGTGGGGGCCCCACCCCTGGAGCAGATGAGCTGGGCAGTTCGGGAGAGGGCACTGGTACGCACGTGACCCAGAAAGGATGTGCCACTGCAGCAAAGGGCGTGAGAAAGGGACACAGGATCATGGTCACGGGCTTCCTCTCCTGCAGGTTCATTGCCTCAATGTCAGTTCAGAACAGCTAATGGTCGTAAGTCTATGCCTCAGGCTCTGGGCCAAGCACCTCGCCAGCATTCATTCACTCATTCATTCGGCAAATGTTGATTGAACATTCGTCACATGCCAGGCATTGTTTTAGGAGCTAGGGATACATCACCAAATAAAACGAAGTCCCCGCCCTGATGGAGCTAAAATTCTATGGGCGAAGCAATAAACAAACAAAGTAATTCATTTTAAAATGTCAGGTGGTGATAACTACTTAAAAACACCGAAGCAGAGTAAGAGGTCAGAGGGTAACTGGGAGGAGATGGTGTTTTGGGGGGTCAGGGGAGGTGCCCCTGATAAGGTGACGTTTGAGGAGAGACTGCAGATGGTGGAGGAGCCTGAGAGGAGGGTCCCGTTCCCCTGAGGGAAAGGGAGCAGCACGTGCCCGGCGTGCCCGGCTGGGCCATGAATCCCCCTTCCCTGGGAAGCCCCTGCACAGCCCTCTGCAGTGGCCATTCCCGTGGACGGGGCCGTCGAGCCTTTGCAGGGCCTGGAGCAGAGCCCGACGAACGTCTGCAAGAAACACGCCGGTGCCATTTGTGCCTGTTCACACACAGCTGGATTTCCCAGGACGCTGCTACAGCCTGAGCCTGGGGGCTCCTGGCGGCACAGGGTCCTTCCTGCGGCAACGTTTGTAAATGTTGGAATCACATACTTTTCCTGTACCCTTTTTCTTAAATAGGACCTCCGAAGTGTCGAATTTCCAGGCCCCACAAAACCTGGCTCTGCCTTGGGTTTCACCAGGGTTATTTTGTCTCTCCTTCAAGGCTGTTTTGTCTGAGGGCAGGGCCTGATGAATTTTTCGTGTCCCCTACACTGAAAGCCCCCCTACGGTTTGAGGCACGCAAGGAGATACAGTCGATAAATAAGAGCCAAGCTGAATTTAACGGAAGACGCCGCCACCCCGTCGAACCCCTTTTATTGATGTGTTTTATTAGTCAGTTGTATTAATTTTATTGACTGTGTCTGTGAATAACTCCCTTTGGCTCAGGCATCCTCTGTACCTTAGAGCAGTTTTGAAACTTGATCTTGGAACCAGAGCAGACAGGCTGTCGAGCCAGGGGTGAACGAGATGGCCTTCAGAATTGGAGGGACTTGTCACCTCTCTAAGCCCTGTGCTGGAAATGGGGTGCTGAGACCTAACAAATGGGGTCACTGTAGGATTTTTCTGAGTTAAGCTGTGAGTAGAGTGTCTAGCCCAAGATGAATGCTCGCTCAATGGAAGCTGTTACCAAGAATTTCATTTGGGGTCATCACCGTCCAAAATCCAGGATATTCTTATCTGCTGAAGAGATAGGCTTTTCCTTGGATGGTGGCAATTTGACCTTGCCGACTGACCACCTTATCGACCCCAATGAATTGTTTATCAGCCCCAGACAACACTCTCCAGTGTTCGGTAGGGCTGGGTGTTCATAGCCATTTGTTTGACAATGTGGCGGCCACCAAGAATCTTGGAACAGGAAGAGAACTCTGGGGTTGGTTTTCTGAGTGCCGACTAAGTGCTAGGCATGGCACCGTGGGACCACATTTAATCCGACCCCTATTTTTGCTCAGTGAGGAAATTGAGACCCCAAGAAAGTGTTGACTCACTCGAAGCCATATCCCCAGAGCTGGCACCCGGTCCCAACCAGTGCTTGGTGTTGGGGCCGCTCACATTAGCTGCTTAAGGAGGGTGTTTTGCTGAAAAAGGAGGGGCACGGGATACGGCAGAAGATGGGTCCTTCGAGGCCCAGGGTTCTGTGGATTTGCGACGCTCTGATTCACCGTGAAATAGCTGCTAATTAAAAAACACGACTCTCAATTGTTGCCATAAAGCAGTTTGTAATGGCAGTGCTCCCCCTGAAACTGGTCATTACCATAGCAAGTTGACTCTTTCTTGAGCCATTAACGAATAAACTAGTCACGGGCTGCTTTTAAAATGTTATTACCACACTCTGCTCTTTAACGAGATGGTGTCTTGGATTCCACAACTGCTGAGAACGCTGGAAGGGGCTGGGGCTCCCTGCCATCCATGGGCTTCGGGACACCTGGAACTCTCGGTCCCTCCGTGCCTCTCTGGCCTGTCCTGAGGGCGCCAGGATCCCTGGTAAGGCTCTGAATGGTCCCCAGGTTGGCCCTAGGACGTCACAGGCACTGTCGCCGAACCCCGAGCTTCCCTGTAATCAGCAAGAGTGGGACCTCGCCATCCAGAAAAGCCCGGACTCGGGTGGGACACACCTGGGTCCAGACCTGTTCTGACGCCTCTGGCCACTCACTTACTCTCTCTGAGCCTCAGTTTCCCCATCTGAAAATGAAACAAACTGAGATGATCTGATGAGACCCCAACCTCATGGGATGCTTGCGAGGACAGAATGCAGGGGGACAGTGGGGTACGCGCCCAGCCCCGTTCTCGGCCGAGGGACAACGCTGTTGTGCTTGTTGTGACAACCAGAGTCGTGCTTCTGATGAAATCTATGAAGCGCTAAGTGAACACAAAGCGGTTCTGATATTAGGATGAGCCCTCTGGACCTACGGCCTCTCGTATCGCTAGCAGTGGGCAGTTTGCACGTCGCCTGTCCTCAGCTTTCATTCCCCTGTGTGGGCACCATCGTGCCCGGGAAATAGGGGTAATACCCACCTCTTGGGGTTCGGAGACGCGTAAATGAGATGATGATAACAGGAAGTGTTTATCACGGGGCCTAGTCATTAATTTGAAACACAGTGTATTCCTAAGGGTTTATAAGTATGCTTTCTAGCACCCACCCAGAGCGTGTCTCTCTGTGCATTTTGCCATCTTACCCTTGTCTTCCCGGACAGCACAGGGCCTGTTTCTGTCTAGGCCAGGTCACGCTAGTTTAAAATCTGATTTCCGGATGTGTGAGGTCATGTGGAGGTTTGGCGGAGGAGTCCCCAGGCAGGACTGGGGATAGGTTCTAATCCTGCCTCGGGCACAAGGGGCCGGCTCCCCCGTGACCCCAGCCAGAATCCTCCACTCTTGGGCCTTAAATAGAGGTTGGACTTGATCATCACTGAGACCCTGTCCAGCTCTAAACTTCCACAATGCCTGGTCGACACGGCAACAAACGCCGTGATTCTCCCATCCCCCACCCCCTACGTCCCCCACCTCCACCTTCTAGCCCACCCCCCACCAGAGACACACATGCACCAAGTTCAGTTTCAAGGCTTTGCCTGAGCCAGCCCTCCCCTCCCCTCCCACCCTAGCGGTTGTGCACTCTGGAGGGAGGGCCGCCTTTACCTTGTGCTTTTTCTCCAGTTTAATGGCTCTCTGAGTGGCCTTTTGTTCCTGCACCCATAGCTGCTGGTACCGGTTCTGCAGTAGGTCAAAGAAGGGGGTGGAAGGCCTGTGGGGAAGAAGTCCAGACAGGTTTGAGGCCTTGGAAGGGCCAGGGGCACCCTCCCCCGAGGGCGCCTGCCTGACTGGCTGTCCAGGCTACAGGGCAAATCGCTCTCCCTAAGGCTCTGGGAAGCTCTCCCTGGCGTTCTAAAGCTAAAGAAACACATGCCTCATGTGAGTCATTCAACAAACATTTATTGCACACCAACAAAGTGCTGGGCCTGAGATGGTGACAGAGACCCTCTCCTTGACCAAATTTTAGATAGGCTACTTAGAGCCTTCTTTTCGAGTAAGCCCTCACCCTTGGGCCCCATCCTTGGCTCGCTGAAGCCAGTCTCAGCAAAGAACCTGCGAAGTCAGTCCCCCCACCCCTGACATCTGATCACCCAGGCCCACCTCTACCAAGAATCCTTTTAAGTCAGTTTAGCAAGAATCCCCCTACCCTCCATGTCTCCTCTTGGTACGTTTCCATGTACTGGACCCTCCACTCTGCTCATTGACTATAAATCCCCTCTTGTGTTGTGTTCAGAATTGAGCCCACTTCTATACTGAAGTCACTTTCCCCTTTTGCAATAGTACTGAATAAAACCCGTCTTGACTGCCTTTAGATCTGCTCTTGTTCTCTGACAGGAGTTTGCAGCCAAGCAGCACTTATCCTCTGCAGAGCATTTTGTATGCCCCACCCCTCTGCAGCACTATAAACCGGGTACTGTTATTATCCCATCCTGGACATGAGAGGGTAAGGCCCCAAAGCAGCGGGGACAGCACTGCAAGTGAAACCCGCTTAGGATAGCCAAGTAGGTGATGAGGGCAAGTTCTCTGTGGAAGAACCAGAACTAATCAATGCAGGAGGATTGATAGGATCGAGGCGAAGGGACCCACTATTTTGCAAGTCCAAATGAAATAATGGATTTAGGTAATAATTATCAATAGCTGCTAAAATGATTAGGCAGAAGGCAGGTAGGGAACTTTATAATGGATGGGTCAGGCCATAGCAACTGAACGAAATGATCAGTTTTTTTTATTGTGGTAAAATATACATAACATGAAATTTACCTAAATGATCAATTTTATCATCACTGAAAGTGACAAATAGACATTGTGCTGGAAGTGATACAATAGAAGGTGTGCAGCGCCATCCACCAAATATTTATGGGGAAAAGAAAAAAACAAAAGTGACCCGGAAGATAATCAAACGTCTAGACCAGAACTGTCAAATAAAAATATAATGTTAGCCACCATGTAACTAAATTTTTTTCTAGTTGCCATGCTTAAATGAATAAAAAGAAGCAAGCAGAATTAATTTTACTAATATGTGATCCCTTTAAAATATTGAGATATTTAAAAGATTGAGTTTTTAAATTTGGATTTAAATCAGTTAACATGAAATAAAATGGAAAATTTGGCTCCTCAGTGGCCGCAATCCAGGTGCTGGATGGTCACCTGGGCTGCTGCTGCCATATGGGACACACAGCTCTCAGATGACCTCCCACCGTTCACAAGAGAAGCCGGGGACAGAGGACGCCATCCGCCAAGTCCAGAGTGTGGGACAGTCCACAGGACAAATGATTCACTCACTTCAGCAAACAGAGGACATTGGAGAAAAGAGAGGTTGAGGATGTGAGATAGAATAAAAGTGACTTAAGAAACACATCAACCAAATGCAATGTGTGGACCTTGTTCAGATCCTGAATCAAACAACCCAAGAGTGGAAAGGTATTTTGGGGGGCAAGCAGGGAAAAATGAACACTAGCTGAGTTTTCGAAGCCACTGAGGAAATACTGCAAGTTGCGTTGTGTGTTATGATGATATTGTGATGATTTATGTTAGGTCTTTATCTGTTAGAGATGCGTACTAAAGGGTTTGTGGGTGAAATATTATGTTGTTTAGGATTCGCTTTAAAAGAAACTCCAGGCCGGCCGAGTGGCGTGTTGGTTAAGAGTTGGCTTGGGACACCAGCTCTGAGCAGTAGGGCCCCGGTTCAGATCCCACATGAGGGCCAGTGACGCTGCGCCCTCTACAGCTACGATGGTGAACAACGCTCCACCTGGAGCTGGGCTGCTGTGAGTTGCCAGCTACAGCGTAGGCTGCAGCCCCTACTGCAGTGGGCTGCCGTAAGCTACCATGAGTGGCTGGAAGCCAGCATGAGCTGCTGTGAGCCACCGTGAGTGGCCGTCCAGTGGCCGGCGAGCGACTGCCTCACCCGGGAAGAGCACAATGATAATACCAACATGGGCCAGTGAAGCGACGTCCTCCACAACTAGACTGAAGAACAAAAGGACAGCAACTTGTCTGTTTCCCTTCCCCAATTCCCCAATGCTGTTCCCCTCCCCCAATTCCCCAATAAAAACCTTAAAAAAAAAAGAAACTCCAGGAAAAAAATAAAATGCAGAAAAATAAAATAATATAAAATAAAAAGATGAAACAAGAATGGCAGGATATATTGATAAGGGTTGAAGTCTGAGATGTGAGGGTTGATCATATTATACTATTGCTATATTTTTTTGCATGTTTGAAAAATTTCATAATAAGAAGTAAAAAGGGAGGAAAAAAACCAACTTTCCAGACTGTCTTGAAAATGTGTAAGTTCTGACCACATGGGTCTGCATTCCTGGGCGGCGACATTTGGTGTGCGCTGAGTGAGGGGTGTCGTTAGCCCCAGTCCCCTCCCTTCCCTATCGTCCTTTTACTGGGCTAGTTCCACTGCGCGCTGGGCCCCTCCAAGTGTTGATTGTGTGGCTGCAGAGACGTGTGCAGAGCAGGGCTGGACCTTGGACACCCCGACCCACCCTCCCACCCTGTCTGCTCCTGGTACAGGCCGGCTTCCCTACGTGCAGGCCTCTTAGGGACTGGCTGGCCCCGGACTCCGTTTGAGTGGAGGTTCAGTGGCTTTGAAATGCCACTTGTGCTCAGAGGTGTCTTCACAGAGCAGCCTGCGGCTCCTCTACAAACAGTGGCTCTTTGTTTTCCTGTTCCTTTACCCCTGTGGCGACTTTTATTACTTAATTATTATACACCCCATGCTCCTGAGCAGCCTAATTTATAGCCATGCTTCCTAATGACACTGGATGCGTAAGCTGGCACTATCTTCCCCAAGAGGCCGTTCACGACAAGAAGCCTCTCTTCCCAGCAGCCCCCACTGCATACATCACCACGAGCCTACCTCACAGCCCTCCTGCACCTGCGCTGACCGTCTTTCTGTCCTGCTCTGGCCAGCGGTTCTCATTACCTGGGAAGAGGCAGGGAGCGGCTCAGAGCGGGAGCGTAGCTGACAAACCTGGTGACTCACAATCCCCGAGTCCTGGCTAGCTAACGGAGACCCAGCAGGGTTTGCCCATTTCTACTTGGCTCATTAACTTGGATAAAAAGGTGGGGAGGCTTGGCAAAACTCAGGAAGTAGATCCGATCACATCATCCCTTCCTTAAAACGCCCTTAATGGCCCCCCATTCCTTAGGCTAAGCCTGGACTCCCTGCCATGCCCGGCGAAGCCCTCCCCTCTCCACCTCCTCCCTGAAAGTCAGCTGCTTCTCTGTCTTCAGGTCTCAGCTGTGGAGTTGCCTCCTCAGAGGCTCGTCCCTGCCCAGCGCATCCTGTAACAGCCCTCACCAGGTGACCTCCCGTGCAGAGGCACACTCCTTCATTCATTTACTGGTTGATAATCTGTGGCAGCCATTGAATGCCAAACCATAAGAGCAGGAATGGTTTAGATCTGCTGTGAACAGGCTTAGTGCTGCTCTCAATAATTATTTGTTAAGAGAGAGAGAGGGAGGGAGGGAGGGAGCAAGGAGACAGAGAAAATGAGTTGAGGCAACATGTTAGGCGATATCCTTTTCATAATTCAGGGTATTATAAATTAGGCTAGAGATGAGTTATCATTAGCTAAAGGAGGTAAATGCATGGAAATGCAATTCAATGGAGGAAGAAAAGTCTTTTCAATAAAGGGTGCTGGAAGAATTGGACAGCATAGGCAAAACCAAAAGAAACAACTCTCGAACTAAGTCTCATACCTTATATGAGAATCAGCTCAAAATGGATCAGAGATTTAAATGTAAAATGTAAAACTTTAAAACTTTTAAAGAAAAGAAGGAGAAAATCTTTGGGACATAGGGCTACGCTGGGTGACGAGTTTTTAGATTTGACACCAAAAGCATGATCTATATGAAAAAAATAGATAAATTGGACTTCCTCAAAATTAAGACCTTTTTCTATGTGAAAGATCCTCTTAAGATGAAAAAACTAACCACAGATTGGGAGAAAATATTTGCAAACCACATATCTGGCAAAGGATTCCTACCTGGAATATGTAAAGAACTCTCAAAACTCAACAGAAACAAACAAACAATCCAATTAGAAAATGGGCAAAAGACATGAAGAGACATTTCATCTGAGAGGATATATGGATGGCAAATAAGTACATGAAAAAATAGTCAACATCCCTAGCCATTAGAGAAATGCAAACTCAGACCATGATGACGTAGCAGCACCCACCTGTTAGTACAGCTGAAATGAGAAATAGTGACAATACCAAATGCTGGCGATGACGCAGAGAAACTAAAACTCTCCTACATTGCTGGTGGGAATGTAAATGGTACAGCCCTTCTGGAAAATTGTTTGGCAGTTTCTCAAAAAAAAAAAATTAGGGCCGGCCGAGTGGCGCGATGGTTAAGAACTCACTTGGGATGCCAGAGGGCCCCGGTTCGGATCCCACATATGAGGGCCAGTGACACTGCCCTCTACAGCTAAGGTGCTGAACAACAGCTCAACCTGGAGCTGGGCTGCCGTGAGTCGCTGGCGACGGCGTAGGTTGCAGCCCCTGTGGCAGTGGGTTGCCATGGGCTACCGTGTGTAGCCAGCAGCCAGCGTGAGCGGCCAGCAGCCGCAGTGAGCGGCTGTCCAGAAGCCGGCGACTGATCTGCCTCGCCCGGGAAGAGCGCAATGATGGTGCCAACTTGGGCCAGTGAAGCAGTGTCCTCCACAACTAGATTGAAGAACAAAACGACAGCAAC